CAAACCCGTGACTCTCCATCCTTCCTCAGCTTGGGATAACAGGTACGTGCTGTTGTGCTAGGTGAAGAGAGAGCACCATCTCTTGCCCATTTCCCTGGATTTTCCTCAGTTGCTACTTTTTGGAATCCCCCATCTTCTACGTCTGAAGGATTGATCTATGCTGTCTTAACTATTTGATTCTGAAGTCTTCAAGACTTGTAGGCTTCCAACCCTGGACACAGATATCCAGAAGAAGAGCACACCTGCCCCGCCTGCTCCCCCCGCCCCCAGTGTTTCTGTGATTCAGCCTGAACTAGAGACAAGGTGTCCACTATGCAGCCTGGTGACCCTTGCTGTTCAGTGGTGTGGAGGTCACATGGTTTAGTCCCCGTCTACCCCAACTCTGGATCCCTTGCTGGCCTCAGTCTTGTTATTCTCCTAGAGTTCCGGTGTGATACTACGATGGCCAGAAACATTCCTTCCACCATCCCCGCTGGAAACTGTTCAATCTGCCTTCAGATCTCAGAGCAAAAGTTCCAGACCACCACATATCAGGCTCCAGGACAGCAAACAAGGATCCCCGGCAGGTACCTTTTCTCACCTGGGCCATGATTGAGTAACGAGAAAACAGAGGCTTGCTATTAGAATCCATCCCCACTTCTTACCAACTAGCCTGGGGCCTTGGACAAGTTATAACAGTCCAAGGACCATTTTTTTCTTATCTGTGAAATGAAAAGCATGCTTCTCATTCCTAAAGATTTGCTACAATTTTTAGTTGAATCAACGCTTACAAAACACTTAGGATAGCTTTTATGTGCCCACTCCCAGCCTCTCTATAATAGTTCATTTAAACCTTGCTGGGTCTTGTCTTCTCTGAGTCTTCCCTGATCGCCCTCAGGTGATTCAGGTGGCAGGAGGGATCAGTAAGAGACTTTGTAGGAGCAGCTGACTTCTGCAATCTGTTTTGTTGACCCCGCAGGCTCCCAGCCCTGCAGCTCAATGATGACAGCTGATGGGAATGACCCTCAAGTCTGTCGTCTCCCCTTCCTGTCCCTAAGGCTGTTTGCATGCAAGAGTGGGACATAATGAAATATTCACATCAGGTTAGAGCACTAGCAGCTCAAAGGACCCCAAGATAGTGAGCCAGGAAACCTGGCTGTAGTCAAGAGTGATGAAAAGAGGCAGGATTGCTGGCACTGGAGCAGGGGAAAATGAGAAAAAGAAAGAAGGGGGGGGGGGGGGGAATCTGTTACCATGGAGACCATGAAGAAATTCTTCAGAGAGCCCAGTGACTTCTTTCAGAGAAAATCGCCATTTGCCTTTCAGGACAAATGTGTACAGGGCTGTACAAACACAACTCTGTGAATTTGGGACTTTGTCCTAATGATCCTGTCCCCTCTTTCACTCGGGCACCCTCTGAATGTCCCAGCCAAGGGCACAAGAAAAGCGTGGGGCATTGAAAGGGAGAAAAACCTGGACCTGCTGAGAAGCAAAGAGTTCCTAGCAGGCACGGGACTTGTTGGGATGAAACCTGGGCTCCTCTGTGTTCTAACGTATAAATCACTTATCCCTGTGTCTGCTCCAGTCCACACTTCCCTTGGCCTTAGCTGAGGATGTGGGTCCCAAGTGATTGGAGAGCCTGAATCTCTTTACAGGTTAAGGGCAGAATTCGAGCGTCCCTCTAGATTACTTAAAAGCAGCTTCAGTCTGAGGCTTCCTCTCAATACCCTCCAGTGAGTGTCACATGGGAGGAGTCTGCCGTTCGGAAACCTGAGGGTCAGCAGGTTTTTAAGCCAGAGCAAACATCTGTGCACAAGGCCTCCAGGTGGCTGTTGGTTCTGCTTACTAATATGAAGAATCTACAGATGGACCCGTGCTCACAAAAGTTGCAAAGTGAGCGTCTGGGGAACAGAACGGCCTGATATTCTGAAGACCAACGGCCGTCTGTTCCCTTGAGTCTACACGGGGGGGGGGGGGGGGGGGGGGGATGAGTGTTTCTAGTCCAGAATTCTTTGCAATAAATGCTGCTATGGGGTTGTGGACACAAACAGTTGTGTGTTTGGACACACCCTTTGAGACCTGTGTGTGCCCAGGTGGGAACTGGTGGGGTGGCAATTAAGGGGTTCTATTCTTTAATCCCAGCATGTGATATTCGTGTCTGTCTCTCTTCTACTATCACCATTAATACCACACTCACCATTAATGTTTTCTCAACACAAGGCAGTAGGCGCTGTGTTCAGTAGGTTTTATATGCTGCCCTCTATTTCTGCCTTTCTCCTGATTAAGGGAAGAATTGCATTCCGTTCACTTTCTAGAAAAGAAACTTATCTGAGCCTTCACATAGTATCTTGTCCAAGACAAAGTGGTTGATCAGATAAAGCGAGATTCAGGTTTTGTCTGTAGCCACTCTTGACTTCTCTCAACCCAACAGGGATTTTAAGTGTGTTTTGGTTGCACAAATAAAAACAAGGTGAGTGAAGAAATTAGCCACAGAAAACAAGGGCAGGAGATGGAAGACACGGTGTACAGTCCTGTGTGTGTCAGAGGTCGGTTTCAAACCGAGTTTCGAATTTTCTAGGCATAGAAAGGGAGACCCAGGACCATAAACCACAGTATTCCTATAATACAAATTCCAAATTATTTGCTCTGGAGAAGCAGAGCAATCTTTCCCTTAGTGAAACTTTTTCTCTGTGGTTTCTTATACAGGATTTTAAAAGATGTTGTAATGAATAAAATATGACCTGATCATGAGCCAGTGAATTTTGTAAGACTGTTTCTCATAAGGCCTGGCAACACAGGCCAAGGGCTTATTGATAAAATATGATCATTGCAATAAACTCTGCAAGGCTCACAACAGTGTCTCTCAGGAAGACAGCAGACCCATCAGGCAGGTAGGTTTTCTTCATGTTTGCATCAGTTACTTGGTTTCCATTGCCTCAGTTTCCCTTCTGAGAACTGAGGATAAAAGTATTACATATTGTATAGAAGAGCGGTATGTTAAATGTGACCTAGAAAGCACTAAGAATTTCGTTCAGAGCATTATCTATAATAACCAATATCAACTGGGTGGTAGTGTCACACACTTTTAATCCCAGCTCTCAGGAGACAGAGGCAGGGCATCTCCAAGATCGAGGCCAGCCTAGTCTACAGAGCAAGTTCCAGGACAGCCAGAGCTATACAGAGAAACCTTGTCTCAAAAAGATAAATAAAATAAAAAAAAATACCATCCTCCTTCTCATCAACATCATCTTCCTCTTCTTCATCATTGTCATTGTTTGCTTTGAGTTTAATTCAGACCAAAACATTTGCTAAGCTAGTCTAAGGTTATACCTAAATATGGGCTGGTTAGACAGCTCAGTGGGTAAACCCGCTTTCTTCCAAGTCTGAGGACCTAAATTTGATCCCTGGAACTCACGTGGGGGAAGGAGAGAATTAACGGCTATAAGTTACCCCCTGGCTTCACACGTATGTCATGGTGTACACTCACACGTGAGTACACACACAAAGTAAATAAATGATTTTTTAAAGGTTGTGTCCATTTAAAAAACCAGGCTCATGTGCTTCGTGGGAGAGACTCTCTGCTTCTCAGTGCAGTTGCAGGGCTGGAAGCTGCCTACACAACCAGACAAAGTCTGTGCGGTAGTGTGAATGCAATTAGCCCTCAGAAACTCAGAGAGCAGCACTATTGGGAGGTGTGGCCTTGTTGAAGGAAGCGTCACTGTGCGCGCAGGCATTGAGGTCTCTTGCTTAAGCTTCGCTCAGTGTCCCAGTCCACTTCCTGTTGCCTTCTGATCAACATGTAGCTAGCATAAGGCTGCCTGCTTATTGTCATGCTCCTTGCCAGGAGTATAATAGACTGAACCTCTGAAACTGTAAGCGAGCCACATGAGTTAAATGTTTTCCTTATAAGAGCTGCCATGGTCCTGGTGTCTCTTCACAGCAATAGAAACCCTAACTAAGACAGTTGCTTTTTCAGAAAGCAATGCCAAGTGCACACTGATGCTGAAACAGGGTTCGTCCCACTGCCATGACAAAGCTTGGCTTGCTTAGCCTCTTCAAATGCCTAATACAGACGTAACTCTACCATAAATTTCCTCGTATAACAACCACAAAGTACCTTATAATTATTTTTTTTATCAGTTTACTTCCGGAAGGAAGCCTTTAGGATGAGCTGCTTCCCAGAGAGTCTGCAGGTAATTCAGCTAACTAATTTGCTGTCTATGGTTGTTAAGGGTTTGACCCAATCCATTTTGAAGAAGATTCACTAACACAAAATATGGCTTTCAAAATAGTTAACCACAGCTTTGCTTCTCATGAGTTGAATAGCAAAATTTTACCATTCAGAATCATCTATCCATTACAAGAAGAAATCTGTTATCTTTGACACAAGGAAGGATGTCTACTTTTCTGGATTCAGTTCACCAGAAGATGCTAGCTAGGTCATTTAGGGTAATATCCAGAGACGAGGAAGCCTCAACTCACCAGAGGAAATTGGCTTGGTCATTAGGGATAATATCCAGAGACAAGGAAGCCTTAAGTCTTTGCTTTCAAAGTTATGTGGGATAGATCCTGAAATATCCAGAGACACTGGTGTATATAGTATGTGGGGTAGATCCTGGAGTATTAGAGACACTGGTATATGTAGTATGTGGGGTAGATCCTAGAGTATCTAGAGACATCACTGTATACAGTATGTGGGTTAAATCCTGGAGTATCTAGAGACATCACTGTATATAGTATATGGATAGATCCTGGAGTATCTAGAGACACTGCTGTATATAGTATGTGGGGTAGATCCTAGAGTATTAGAGACACTGATGTATATAGTATGTGAGGTAGATCCTGGAGTATCTAGAGACACCGCTGTATATAGTATGTGGAATAGATTCTGGATAGGTCTTGGAATATCTAGAGACACCGCTACATATAGTAAGTCCACAGAGTAAGTGGTGGTGGTTCATAACTTTCATCCCAGCACTTGGCTGCCAGAAGCAAAGACCTGTATTTTGAGACCTGCGTGGTTTTTTTTTTTTTTTGAGCCAAAATTTTTATTTATTCATTTCTTGCACTTGAAGTACTCTTCGATGACATCCTTGGCCTGAGATTCTTTGCCATAGTCCTTAACCACGACACAACTGCAACCAACTACTTTCCGTGGCTTTCCCTCTCGATCAGTTTTACAGAGGCCTACCCATTCCCCGAGTTTCTTGTTGTCATCAACCTTAATTAGGTTGATTTGGAGCTCAGCACAAAGGGCCTCCACCAACTTGACATACATAGGCTCATCACAGTTGGATGCAAGCACACAGAGATGGTCTTGGTGCTTGTCTAAAGCTTTGACAGCTTCGCGGATGCCACGTGCAAGGCCATCGTGGATGAGGGTAATTGTCAGCACCTCTTGAAGGAGACCTGCATTTTTTTATGCCATCTTAAATTCACAAGTTAAGTAAGATATTCACCTTTGCAGGGCAAGTTCCTGGGCCTAGGAAATTAACCTAGTGAGACCTGCAGGCCCCAGGCTTTAGAAGCAATTAGCATTTACTTTGTTAGTTAACAGTTACAGACCTCAGTACTTTCTTATCAGCTAGGGATATTTCCAGACCTGAATTCCAGCATCCTACCCGCCCCCCCCCCCCCACACACCTGTTTGCTATATAACAGTTTCTGAGAAATAATAAAGTGGGCAGCTTGATCAGAAAGCCCGACTTGCTGTCATTTCTTGTATCTCTTGCCCCTTCATTCCTACCCTCCAGGGCGAAATCAGTTCTGTTCGCATCCCGCTGGTCGCTGGTCGGGACACATGGGGGTGGGGATGAGGTAGAAGCTGGAGAATCTCTGAGTTCAAGGCCAGCCTGATCTGCAGAGTGACTTCCAGGACAATCAGAGTTATACAGAGAAACCCCATCGTGAAAAAAACCAAAATCCAAAAACCACACAAACAAACAAAAGAAAAGAAAAGTCCATGCAGAAGAGGACATACACTTGGATCTGTTTTCAGCTAATCGTTTCAGAGGCTGGACCTGGCTGACCCATGTAGTTTTGATTGAAAAGGTGCAGAGGGTGAGGACTGAGAGAGCTTTTCATCCAAATCTGAGTTCCCAGTTCATGGACTGGCATCACCAAAGGCAGATAACTTCTCTGCCCAGGACTGCATCTCATGATGTTCACTTTATATGACTGTGTATAAATGACCAGTTCTTGTCAATGGAAAAAGAACAGACATGAATGGTGATGTCTGCCTGAGGTTTTGTAAGAATGAGCAAGGCATCTCTTTGCTCCTCTTTGCCCATTACCAGGCCAAGGGAAGGACAATCTGTTACCATTCAGGCTGCTAGTTACAAGACAGGAGATGCTCGGGTCTCTGGATCACCGTGCTGAGGGGAGCCAGCCCTCCCCCAGCAACACCTACATTGGGACTGTGATATGCCTGAGAACTAAAACTTGAGGGTGAAGCACTCAAGCTTTGAGTTTTATTTACTGTAATAACTATAATTATTCTAACTTAAGTAGGCATTTATCTTTCAGAATAAGTAGCTTTTAAAACCCTCAAGAGAAGCAGATAAAGTCAGTTAAGTTCAGTAATCAAGGCAGAATGAGTCTTAGAAGGTATGTTGTTTTCAAACTTATTTTCTCAAGATCACTCTTGCAGAAGCAGTTTACTTTTGTAACTAAATATTTATGCAAGCTGTCTTTAAAGTCTTTCCCTCTTCTCTCTCTCCTTCCCTCCCCCCCCTTTCCTTCCCTCTTCCTTTTCTTAAAACAAACCATCCCTTTACCTGTGATGACTATTGATGGTTAATGGTCTGGGCTTGCTCTTTCATTCCTAACTTTCCTTGCTTCATCAGGCTTTGGGTAAGTTCTGTTATGTCTGGATAGAGTCCAAGTTAGCAAGCGGTAAGCCTCAGGAATAGTCCCGGGATTCCCAAGCCTTTTACTTTCTATAAAAGTGACTGAAATGAAGAAATCCTGTTATCCCCCCCTGCCTGGAGAAAGGTTTCACCTTTTCAGACTCTGAGAGCTTCATCCAGATCTTCATTCTGGTCCTGGGTGCTGAGGGTGAGGCACACAGCATATTCCCCACCCCATGCCACCCCTACTCGCGTTGCTGGTCAGGCCTGAGACTGGAAGATGTTCAATTACTATTAAAGTCAAGTTGCCCGCACAGAGGTGAAGAAAGAGTCAAGGAGCAGCATTGCTGTTTGTAGCAGGAAATGCTATCATCAGCTCTGCTGTAGGGGCTTGCAAAATGATGGAGACAGTGGCCAGTTCGACACTGAGGAATGAGGAACTCACTGGACCAGGCATCTTCCCCTTGGTTTCTCAATTGTCTTACCAAATTGTGACCTCCTCAATCACTGACTTTCTTTGAGTAAATCCCTTCACACTGACTCCATGTGTATACCGCCCTGGTTTTCTCTCTAGTGCCCTGAACTTCTGCCTCAGGCTCCTGTGCCTCTTCAACTCCTAGACTCAGGCTGTACAACCCATTTGGACATTAAGCGGACTGACACATCACAGTGGCTTTAGCTTGTATGATTTTTCTGCAAAGCGCTTGTCATTACTAGAAAGTATCTTTTTCCTTTGTTTACTAGATTCCTTCACGACAACATCCACTGTGGGACATCGAGATTGTCTTATTTATTGTGGCATTGTTAGGGACTAAAACTCCGCTTCATAATGAAGTTCCAGTAATAGCTACTGAGTTAATAAATGACTGCTAGAATGAATGAATGAATGAATGAATGAATTTATGGATTCTAATAATGAAAAGTAGGCTTTCTCCCAAAATAAAAGACTATGAAGAAAGCGTTTCAGATGTAAGAGGGAAGCAAGATCAGAGTTTAAAACTACGCTAGAGCATTGTGTTGAGGTCCTCTCTGCGAAATGGGTAAGTTTCCTTTTTATCAGCCACAGAAGGGTGGGTTCCATGCCTTCCTTATGCAAGCTGGGTCTTTTCCATCTGGCGTATGTGTTGCTTACCTCACATCGGGCTCTGCGGTGGCAGCATGCAGTGGCAGGCGGCCGTTTTTATCTGGGATGTTGTGCTTGGCACCATTTCTGAGCAGACTCACACAGCCTTCAAGCCAGCCCTGAAAGGCAGCAGCAATAGTATTATTATATAAGACAGCCTCATATAACAAGGGTCAAGCTTTCTATAGCTATGTGTGTGTGTTGTTGTGGTGGTGGTGGTTTTTGTTGTAGTTGTTTTGGCCACTTATTTGGTTTGGCTAAATAATGGTTTAAGTGGAAACCATTAAAGATCACAGTTCCAACTCAGGCCCCAGAGCAGAGAGCTGAAGTCTGAGCTTCAAGTTCCCAGGTTTTCTGTCTGATTGTGGCCCTTCACATGCAGGTTGATGCAGGTGCTCTTGCCTCTCCCTTTCATTTCCAGGACCCCTCATTGGGATTCAGCTGCAACAATTAGGCTACCCCAAAGATAGCATGTGACAGGGAGTAGTCACCTGCTCTGGCTGCTCTGGCATGTGGCTTAGTTCTACATGATACACATCACCTGTCTAACTTGGATGACAACATCCAAGTCTAAAAGCTGGATTCCTGTACCACTTCTGAGTCCCAGCCTGCATGCTCAGCCTGTCTCCCATATCTAAAGTGTAGGTCTTGGCTCTTTATCATCTCATGCCCTGTTTATAATAACCCAAAGGACAGCATCTTCCTTCCTTGAGTCAGTCTCATCCCAGTGCTTAGACACACAACTCACACACCCTGCCAATAGCTGCAGTTCTAACGCTGGCATCCTGACTCTCTAAGGTGAAGACACACAAGCATTCTCCAAGGGATACACCTCGCAAGGCTTTATGCACCTACATGTTTCTTAGGAGGCTGTGTGAATTCCCTGCACCCTATTTGTACCAGCTGAAACTTGATATTATCACCTTGCTGGTCAGTACATCCAACTGGATCCTTTTTTTTGTAGATTTATAAATATTATACAGTATTCTGTCTGCAGGTTTGCCTACATGCCAATAGAGGACGTCAGATCTGATTATAGATGGTTGTGAACCACCATGTGGTTGCTGGGAATTGAACCCTGAACCCGTGGAAGTCAATGCTCTTTATCTTTGAGATATCTCTCCAGCCTTTTTTTTTTACTATATTATATTAAAGAACATTAGTAACCTGAGACTATCCCTGCCCAGATTTACACTGCTTTCTTAATTTATACTTCTTTAGCTGACCCAGCTTAGCTGATAACCAAGCTTAGTTCTCTTTGCTAAGCAGAAAGTCTCCTACATTTATCTTCAACCCTTGGGCTACACAGCTACTTATAAACAGACAAATAAGTAGATGAAACTCTTATTGAGAAGAATAATGTGATAACCTTTTATTCAAAAGCAGTTTCTAGCCTTCCTCCATGTGTATATAGTCAAATCTCGAGATGTCCCAGTGAGCTGAGACAGCTGAAGATTCTTTCCCTTAGGATGACAATATTGGAAGCACCACAACCTAAAGAGTTAATAAACTTCCTGAAGAAAGAATCATATGGACAGAACCTTGTGGTTTTGAAGCCTCTAGACAATATCTGCCAACAAGGAGCACATCCAAACTCCCGGCTGAGCCAGGCATGGAGATGCAGACCTAGAATCCCAGAGGTTACCAGCAAGAGGATCAGGAGTTAAGGGTCATCCTCTGCTACATAGTGACTTTGAAGACATCCTAGATTACATCCTGGCCACAAAAATCAAAACTAAAAACCTCCATGGGCTGTAATACCAAATAAGGTTCTGTAGAACTGGCCAGCAATATCTGTCTTAAGTAGAAACAAATATTTGGGGGGCACTGTTTGTACTGACTCATAGTTTACTAATATATTAAATTTGCTTCTAATTGCTAATGTCCAAGTCATCAAGATCTCTGCTTAAAAGAAAAAAAATGGATCAGAGGACCCACAAGCTAGGCATGCTTTGCAAACTTCAGAATTCCCCAAGATTTTACATATGGTTTTTGAAAAAGCAGATCTTTTGGTGGAGTAAGCTTTGAAACATCTAAAATATTTTGCAATTCTTCCTGGAACTCAATGTGTGTATGTGGTTTTCTTCATTCTTTTTTCTTTTCCTTCTTCTTCAGAAAAGAAATTTAGAAATCAGTGAAGACATTTGAAAGCCTTGATACCATTTGGAGGCAACAGATGAACACCATACCTACTATGTCAGCCAACCTCACCATTGCCTTCAGCTGTGAGAAGCTGGGGTTACTGTTTTTACTATACCTCAAAAATAAAGACAGAGGAACAAAAAGGTGAAGAGATTTGCCCAAGGTCACATGTCTACAAATGTCTGTGTACCCTGAGTTAAGAATCAGTTTCTAAGTGCCTCTTTTGCCAAGGTTCTCCTAATGATCAAATTTAGACATCACCGGATTTCACAGCGACCCTCCTCTTCCCAGAGCCTCAGCATCCAGGGATGGGTCCAGACTAGACCTCACCCAGAAGCCAGCACAGTTAAGAAGGCCGTCCTATCTTGGGTCACTTCTCTCACACAGCCCTTTGGGATGGGAAGAGTTGCCTGCAAAGGGGTCACCTGGAAACAATCCTTCTTGCCCCTCGTAATTGATGTTTGGGGAGAACGTCCTTCCAGTCCTTTCAAGTTTGGAAATTTAGAGTTCTAAAAGACATACAATTTGTTTTTGCTGTCTTCATTGAGTCTAATGGCGGTCAACTTTACACAGCATTTCCGCCCCTTTCCTTTGCTCCTTAATCCGGATGTTTTCTTTTCTTTATCTCAGACACAAAAAAGTGTGTAACAAGAGCAGTGATGA